GTAAGTTGCTAATAAGGTATTATTACGTGCTCCTAATTCCCACTGGGAATCTATAATGAAACTTATAAAAATTCAAATTTCAAACTTCAAAAATTTTCCAAAATTTTCACAAACAATTTTACCCTTTCCCAAAAATTAAAAAGAAAATAACAATTGCTCAATGCGATTTAGAAATCAAGGAGAAAATTGTTCCCAGTCGAATGATGCTTGCCTATCTATGTATATTTAGGACGTTAGCGTAAGGCGGTTCCAGATATAGGCGATTGGAGAAGTTAAGTTTGCATGAGAGGTGCCACGCCCCCTTTTCCAATATTTGTTACTTTTTGCCATAAGTACGCTATTGATAAAATATGTAGCTGTGTAAAAGTTCAGGACGTTAGCATAGGCTGCTCCAAAAATAACAGGACAGGAGATGTTAAGTTTGTATGGCAGGTGCCACGCCCCTTTTTTCCAAAAGCTTCTAGTTTTCGCCATAAGTAGGGTATTTACAATTTATGCATCCAAGTGCCAAGTTTTAGTTCCCCAACGTAGTGGGTTAAGAGATATATTGGCGCCCTCAAAAAAGCGGTTTTAACCGTTATTATTATTATTATTATTATATATGTATGTGTAGATATCTATCATTCTCCCACTGTATAAGAACGTTAGGAATATCCCGACCCCAGCGCCTCCTATCATGTAATTTTTTAGTCCAAATATTCCTTTTCAATTGGCTAACAAATGTTCTAAATCTGAACCAATTCTGCAACTAAATGCAGTTTTTAGGAGCATCCCGACCCCAGCGCCACCTAGCGTTTAAATTTTTAGCCGGAATATTTCCCTTCTAGGTGCTGACATATATATACGGAAAACTCTATGAAATTGTGAATTCGTGACGTCTCAGCTTTCTTAGTTTTTTTGGCAACAATAACAAAAAGTTTTGATTTTTTTTTTTATCGAAAAACCTTCCACACATCCAAGAAAAGATCCAAAAAAGAACTTTTTACAGAATTGAAATCGGTTAAGCCGTTTGGTCAGGCATCGCCGTCATACGAAAAACATTTCATTTATATATATATATATATAGATTTCCCGATTAAATTGATTTCACCTCTTATTTGAATCAGCTGCTCAGTCAAAAAAATTTTGCATTGCATAAAAATATTAAGAGTCTTCACACCTGCTAGTAGGTACTTGGTAAACTGCTAGTTGGTACTCAGTAATTTCATCAACTGTGGACATCCTTTTCAGCTTTCTTTTGTTACTCTGGTAAACAATGTCTATCAACAGCTGATTCGTGGCCTTTTTCCTATAAAAAAAAAATAAATTGTAACAGAAAATTGAAGGAATTTTACTTACTCATATGACAGGGCGCGGATTTAAAATTGGATAAACACCGAGCAGCTGATTGCAGTTTACTAACTACCAGAAAAATTATCAAGCTCACACCAAGATAATTCGGTAAAACTAATTGCGAATAATTATATTGCAGGTACAATTTAATTCGAAGAATTATGTATCTAAATAACGATTTATTTGAATAATGCTCAACTCTGAATGTATGAAACAAAAAATTAAAAAGAGTGAAGACTCTCAAAGTAAAATACATTTTCATTAAAAAAGAAAAAGATTATGTATTATTTTAAGCGAAATGGCGTGAAAGAGATTAAATATTTTCAGCGCCAGGGAAACGTTGAGACGTGGCCAACGCAAAAAAAAAAATACTTAACAGATACGAACAAAAACAGACAAAAACGAATTGTCTGTTATTTATGTTACAAGGAAAAAGGAGACGGTTGGAAAAAGACTTTTACTAAATGGTAAATTCAATTTCACAAAATACCGAAAAACATTGCTTTTATGATTTTTGCTGAGAAGACGGTTTGTTTTATGAAAAAAAAAAAACAAGTTAAACAAGTATGAGGCAGCCCCGCTCCCAGCCAAAAGCTAAAACGAATAAGAAAAAACCATGAAAAAAATATGGAGTCGGTCTATTTTATTGGAAATTGAAAACCGGCGAGAGCAAATTGCAAACACTGGACAGTAAACATGAAAATATGTGGGGTGCAAACAATAAACTTTCGCTTCCTGGCAACAAACAGCGGCACTAGCGGCATAGCGACATTTTTGTACGGAGCAAAACGGCAAACAACCAACCAGCTGCATTGATGATGGTCTGCTGCATTTCCGTGAAATGAATTGATGAGCGCCGATGCGCCGGATATTACCGCACAATACAAATCGACTCAAGCGTATGGATGAGGATGGTGCAGAAAGGAGGTAGAAATTAAGGCGCAGGGGTACATAAATGCCGCCAGCCAGCATGGAGGTGTGTGTGTGCGACTGACAGCAGATTGTGTTGAAATGATGGTCACGTAATCAAACGAACATTGTGTACTTACATATATGCTTTTTTGCACCGACATACATCCAAACTCTTCTTCGCCCACACTGATTGTATGTATGTATGTATATGCATCACGCTGCTGGCTGTTTCCACGCAGCGGCTCGCTTTCGCCACAATCCCTTATCCACTACGGTTTGTGGGTAGAACAACTTCATGCTATTTCCGTTTCATATTAAAGTGACATTAAAATTTGCTTCCACAGCATCTGCTGCCTACGAAAACAACAATAACAAAAAGCAAAAATACGAACAATATGTGCTGATGCCAGCAATGCACCGATTGCGGTTACAATGCGAAACGGAAATGCGTCTGACTGACCGGAAAAGTGTTCATATCTGCATTGAGTTGATGGACTGCTGGTTGCTGGCAATCAACCGAAGACTTATGTATGGATGTGGATTGCGAACCTTGTTAGTGCATCGTGTTCATGTCAACGATAACAACCAACATTCTATCGGCAGCAATATGTATGTATGTATAGATGCTGTTGATGGCATTGGCGATTATGTTTGTGTTGAAGTTGATAATGGCCCGGCCCTTTTGGTTGTAGTTGTAGTACTGCTGTTGCTGTTGCTTTTGTCATTATAGCCATGGCTGCGCTTTTATGCCGCATCAGCTGGCGTTTCTAACATTGAAAAGTGACAAATGCAGTGCAGATAAACCGATGTCGCAGCCAAAGTACGCGGAATGTGTGTACCACATGTCGTATGAGTGATTTTCAATTTAGTCAGTTGCATTCTGTGGTATGAAAGAAAATCTAGCACATTACGGTAGAAGGTGTGGCCGTTAGGTTTAATTAAAAATCGTTTTTCAATTGTTGACTTAGTAAAATTTCAAACATTCGACTGATTATTCAAGCCGATAAGGACAGTTCAAACTAAAAGGATACCCATCAAAGCTTTATTAGAAGAAGCAATGCAGGCAGCTCTTGGTTCTTTAACTAAAATACAAATGGGAACATAAAGTAAAAAAAATTGTCGAATTTCTTAAAGTGAGCCTAAAATAACTTTAAATAGTAAAATTTTTCGATTGCTAATTCATTTTTTCAATAGAAAATGTGGAATATTTCGAAAGCTGTTCTACTTTCTTACAGCCATATTCTTTATCACGAACGATAGTCAACATTAACGATTCGCCTGCAGACGACAACATCTCGGATTGCGATTTTATTACTCTATCGGTCGTCTTCGCGTTTGTTTTCATATATTACGTTGCAGTGGTCACTGGTAATGCCAGAATTTCATTCAGATTCAAGGACTAGTTTAACATAAGAAATGATTTCTAGATGCTACAGAACCGAATATTTGCTTAAATTTGCAAACTAATGTAACCATTGATTGTTTATTGAAAACGTATTTTTGAATTTATGGAACCAGCTTCGATTACACAGTTCGACAAATTTTGACTCTTTTTACCACCTGAGTAAAACATATAATTTTTTGTAGATTTTTTGGTGCTTAATCCAAATATGGCCGCTTAATGGCTCTATCACGTCAGTATTTTGAGATATCTCACACGGTTTTTGGCGATATTTGAGGTTATACTATGAAAACAACAATTTTTTTTTGCTCAGCTATGCGTTGGTGAATATATTTCCTCTTCACTGTTTACTACATATTTTTATATCCATTAACTGAACTGTTTTTTTTTTTTTTTATTAACTCAGTTTAATAGCATCGCTGCAGAGACCGCAAAGTGCTCTTTTTCTTTTTTTAAAACAGTATTTATATTCATACATATTTATGCGCACGCTTCTCATCGAGTTGTGGCTGACCGCAAAGTAGTCGAAAATGGATTAAAGTGACCGCAGGAAACACTCATTTCACAAAGATACGTACTTACAATAATAGCTTTCATTAATGTATACGCATACATGCATATAAATCAGAGGTTCCCAAACTTGCTTTTCAAAACTTTACTGGTTTCTGTGGACCCCCTGCTGCCCTCTCTAACATATTCCCAAAGTTCATAATAAATGTGATGTTTAGATCTAACGAAGAAAATTTGGATTGTTGGTGAGTTCCAAAACTAAATCCGGATTGGCAAAAATAAAAATAAAATATTTTCTTTCTATTTATTAAAATAATGTGATTACGCACTTGCAAGTTTAAAAAAAAACCGAGCTCGTAAAGCCATCAAAGTAAATACTATCTCGCCCTGAGGAGTTATATTTTTTAAGAGTACTCCATTTACTCCTCACATGTTTGGCTCGCTCCTGAATTTGCATGTGACGTATTTGTAAAATTGTTTATTTGTGTTGATGGCATCATTTCTATTTTTATAGCTCCGAGTTTTAAAGTGATGCGAAAAATATTCATCACTCACATTTTTAAAACACAAAACTTGAATCAACAA